TCTCTATATTAGATTAGATATTAAGTTTAGTATGCCTTATCTAGCTATAAATCTAGTAATTAGTCCTAGTCTTTCTACCCTATCTTCTAAGATAGAAAGAGGAACTCTCTCCTATAGTAAAGAGAAAAAGAGTAATAGAAAGACCTCTAAAAATTTCTTCTAGAACCCTATAGATAATTTAACAAGCTTAGTACTACCTATGCAGAATTTTTACTTTAGGTTAAAGGACACCTCTATACTTTAATAAGATACTAACACAAAATACTACTACTTAATCCTTAGGAGCTATACGTCTTTAGAACAGAATTTAGATTAGCTTTTACCTCTTAGCAAGCTACCTCTAAGCTAGAAAATTCTACTCTAAAGTCTATTCCTAAAACTACGACAAAATCCACCCTTAAGTTAAAATCTAGTCCTAAGTTAAAATCCACCTTTAAGTTAAGGTTACCTAAACTACCTCTAATCCTACCTTCTAAAGCTACTTCTAAGCTAAATCTAGAAAGAGCAAGTTTAGAGGAAGATTAGACATAGTCTAAGAATATATTAGATTAGTTAAGAAAATGTTAAATATTAGTCGGAGGTTCGCAGATTTTTAGGGGTAGAGTAAAAGAGTATCTTAATCTTTAACTAGCTTACTATCTCCGATAGGTAGTACTTAAAAGTAGGGACTAATGTGTTAATTAAGTTAATTATCTAGAGATATGTCTCTATCTCCTAAGAAGAGATTTTACCCTATATAGAGTTATATAACCTTATAGCTACTTAGCTCTCTGTTATATTAGATATATAGCTATTCTATAACTGCACTTTCTAACACTCCTATTTAGGATAGAATAGACTATATATATTTCCCTAGATCTTTTAAGATTCTATTAAGTGTAGAAAGGTAGTTCTATAGCCTAGTAGTATAATTCTATCTTAGCTACTATCTTAGTACAATTCCTTAACTTAGTATTATATAATCGAATATGTCTGTTCGGACATCTTTAATTATATAATTTTACTAAATTTTAGAATGCTTATTATATACTAAGATAATTTATATATGTCTAGAAGTTTAGACTAGTAAGA